GCCCGGACAACATTTTTAAACTTACACTCTGTAACAGTGCTGACCAAGAGAACTTTCTACAACGATAGAAATGTTCTGTATCACTAGCGACACTGAACTACTCAGCACATGAAAGAAATGTGACTCGTACAACCGAGAAACCATTTTTTTACATTTTATTTAATTTTAAAGAGTCACAATCCCACTATAACATTTCTTTCAAAAAAAGCCTTTCAATGAAGCCTTTCTTTCAATAAAGTTCTGAAGTTTACTTTATAAAGAAAATGCATTTGGTTGTCAAGCATTCCTAGTCCCGTGATTAACAACACGAACAAACAGGTCTGTAAAATGGTGGGGCCTAGTCCACCTCTTAATTTCTTGGAAGACTTAAAGATGAGGCATTTGAGATAACTGTGCAGACCCAGGTCTGCTAGTCCCTCCCAGCTCAGAGCAGTAAAGAGGATGTGGGGAGCGTTTAGGACTGAATAAGGTTACAGAGACTCAAGATGTGCTGTGAGTATTGGAGATTCTGAGAAATTCCTCAGAAAAGGAGGCTTTTTTTTTTTTTTTGAGCCCAGGTCTCGCCCCATTACCCAAGCTGCAGTGCATTGGTGCTATCGCAGCTCACTACAACCTCGACCTCTGAAGCCAAGAGATCCTCCCACCTCAGCCTCCAAAACAGCTGTGTCTACAGGTGTACACCACCCTGCCTGGCTCATTTTTTCATTTTCTGTAGAGACGGAATCTCATTATGTTGCCCAGGCTGGTCTCAAACTCCTGGGCTTGAGTTATCTACCCAAAGAAGAGCTGTCATTTTAAAAGAAGAAAAAAGTGGTTGTTCAATACCAAACCTCTCTTCCTTTGCTGCTTTTTCCTTTCAGGAGCTCATTGACGTTGACAGTGAAGTGGTGTTTGAATTAGCTTCCTATATTTTACAGGTAAGTTGTTCTCCTCCTCTTCATGTCCCAGCGCCATATGTAGAAGAAAAGAAAGAAGACTTACAGGGCGTGGCCAGCAGCCGTATCCACTCACTACTTGTCATCTTATCTTTTTTTAGCCACAAGCTACAAAGAGCAATAGAGACACCGGTGGATACCATAGCAATAAACAGGGGTTCATAGTGTTTCAAAATGTTAAGACAGCAAATCCCTGTAAAGCAAAGTTGTGTGTTTAACCTGAGCCTGGGAGAAACAGATCATATACTGACCCCATTTTCTTTGGTACTGCCACGCTGGAGAAAGCCAAGTGAATACAGTTAGTTGCCAAAAAATCATATTCTGCCCCCTTGAAAGACAAGGAAAAGCTCTTTAGGTTTTGAAAAAAATATATATGTTGCAGAGTATTAGCTTAATAATGACACGATCAGTTAAAATGATGTCACTTCTTTAGTCCTTTAACAAGTATTTATTGAGCAACTACTATGTTCAAGGCATTGTCCTGGATTTGCTAAAGTTTCCCTGGTCCCTACCTCCAGAGTCTTCAGTATAATTTGGAACTAGCATAAAATACAAACCAAAACAAAACGCAACCCTAGAAATGAACAGTTCTATCCAGAGACATGTTCATATTTAGAATGTTTAAACTAGAATATGTTATACCCAGGCTTAGAGGTGGAAATGTGCATTTTGTTATGAATCACTGTCTTTGTATACAACTTTCTAGAGTTTAATTTCATGTCTCATATTCAAATGGCAAAGGTATACATTCCATTTTAATTGTATTCTGCAGCAAATAGGACGGTAGGAAGCTGAACTCATTCAATAGAGAAACTGTCATGATTATAGAATGTACTTTAAAGCATCTAACACTGGCTTAGTGTGTTCTGCTGATGTTGAATTTTCTCTTCTACAGGAGGCAAAGGGAGATTTTTCTAGGTGAGTTTACTATTTTTTTTCTGGTTTAAAATGTAAGCCCTTGCTTCTCTTATTAAAAGAAACTATTCACCGTGTCCTTTTTAGGTGGACAGTTTATTAATGTTACATGTTAATAATGAGATCTAACACTCAACTTGCCAACTGAAACAGATAGAACAGGCAGAGAAAACACAGTAATAGCAAGGGAGATATTCTCCACTACATGCAAAGCCCAGAAATTGCTGGAAAGCTGACATTCGGGCCCTGTCACACGCCCATTGTCCTGAGGTTGGACAGGCTACTCAAATGTCTCGTGGAGGCTTGAATCACCACTGTGGCATGACTATGGTTGCAGCTAACCCAACAGTTTTAACAAGTATGTGGACGTCTTTTTTTCTCTCAATGTAGTCCCTGCCCCTCAAGGGACAAAATGTCTTACAGGGAAATTTCATTCATGAAAGTATTACAACATAAAAGCATCCCACCTCTACTTTCCTTCTGTCTTAGAATATTGTGTTGGAGAAAATATAAGCAGACAACTACTGGGAATCTGTAAATGGTGTTAATAACCCTGTAAAACTGCAAACTTGTTATCTATTTCATTCTTCACCGTGTGTTGATCGCTGAAATTGTCCTGAAATCTCTCGTGATCATCACCAGATCCTGCACAGAGCAGAGGGTGTAGCCAGCCACTAGCAGGACTGTCTGCTCAAAGACAGATATTATTCCTGGGATTCTGTTTGATCAAGGTTTAGAGACAAAAAGAGTGAACTACGTGAACAGGAAAGGAAAGCATCAAGGCATAAGGTTCTGGCCCATCAACAGGAAATTAGCAAATTAGTGGTAAAAGGAAACACAAATCATGTCTCTACTCCATCTAAGAACCTGTGTGTTTCCCCATGCTTTGAGGGATTTCATCTGTAAATACAGCAAAAACTACTTCTGTTTGTGGCCACCTGTACTTGGCTGTCTTTGTCACTGGATTTTCAGGTCTCAACTGCTTTCTTCTTGCTCTCCTTGTACATTTCTCAGGCTTTCTTTTTATTATTATTATTATTTAAATTTTTTCAGAGACAGTCTCCTTCTTTTACCCAGTCTGGGGTACAGTGATGTAATCATGACTCACTGTAACCTCCAACTGCTGGGCTCAAGTGATCCTCCTGCATCAGCCTCCCGATTAGGTGGGACTACAGGCATGAGTCACTGTACTGGGCTAGTTATTTTTTTGTAGAGATGGGGTTTCACTATGTTGACTGTTCTTAGTAGACATTTCGGCAAAAGCAAATACTTATTTTATAGTCTAAAACAAGGATCAGCAAGCTTTTTTTGTTAAGAGCCAGACTGTGAATATGTTGAGTTTTGCATGCAGTACAATCTCTGTTGCAATTATACAACTCTTCCTCAGTGCAAAAGCAGCCCCATAGGATAAGTAAATGAATGAGCCTGACAGCATTCCAATAAAACTTTATTTATGGATACAGAAATTTGAATTTCATACAAATGTTCATGTATCACCAGATACTGTTCTTTTGATTTCTTTTTTTTTTTTGAGACAGAGTCTTGCTCTGTTGCCAGGCACCAGGCTGGAGTACAGTGGCACGATCTGGGCTCACTGCAGCCTCCGCCTCCTGGGTTCAAGCAATTCTCCTGCCTCAGCCTCCCAAGTAGCTGGGACTACAGGCACATGCCACCACGCCCAGCTAATTTTTGTATTTTAGTAGAGATGGGGTTTTACTATGTTGGCCAGGATGGTCTTGATCTCTTGACCTCATGATCTGCCCGCCTTGGCCTCCCAAAGTGCTGGGATTACAGGTGTGAGCCACTGCACCCAGCCTTGATTTCTTTTTCTAATTGGTTAAAAATGTAAAAGTCATCCTTAGTTCATAGGTAATACATAAGCAAGCAGAGGACTGGATTTGTCCAGGGGGCTGTAGTTTGCTGATTCTAATCTCAAATCCCATCTCTTCAAGCTCTGTTCGAATATTTGTATAAAAAGACTTCTAGGCCCCTTTTATTTAAGTTTTCCAAGTTTTTGGTACAAAGCAGTGGCAGTCAATTTTTAAATAGACAATGACTATAACTAGCCTTGGCTGCAGACCTTGAACTTTGTAGGTGGCCAGTAACCATTTAGTGCATTTGCAGAACATATGTTTTCAGGTTATAGAAACTAAATCCTTGTTACAATTTTTCTTTGTTACTGTTTTATGACGTTCATTTGGCCTTGGAATTTGAGGTTTTGATAAGTGCCAGTCCACATTTACTTACAAAGATTTCTGAAGTCCCATGAAAAAAATGACTTAAAAACCACAAATCCAATGGATTCCAGTGTCTAGTCTACTTACTCTGAAGATACGATTTTCCCCCCACATTTCTTTCGCCAGCTCTGAACTCTGCTGTAAATATTTTTTATTTTGAGAGTACCCTGACAGGATGGAATGTCAACTGGGAATAGCATGATCTGGCCCCCGGATCATGGGAACATGTGGCCACATGGCTTGCCAGGGAGAAGGAAGTGTAGGCCTGGCCCCAGCAGTAATTCATGGCCCCCTAATGAGCTTTTGGAATGCCAGCTTGTTGGCTGAATTCAAAGAATCAAAGGATCCGGGTTTTGCTCCATTTGTCAAAGTGCTACTGCTACCCAGCAATTTGTTTGTAAGGGCAGCTGTCTGGGAAGAGAATTCACTATCAGGAGAGGGGAGAGGTCAGACACTTTATCCATAAGGTCAGTTTACTCCATGGACAGTGTGGGTGATCTGTTACATGTGAGTCCCTGATAAATACCCTTTTTCTGTAGCAGGCCCATGCTAGTAAAGCCATCTTCAGAGATCCAGAGAAACTAGTAAACTTGAGTGGCCTAAGCTTTTGGAGTAAGAGAAGTAATTACACATTCCTTCCCATCTACTTCTGGGAAGATACCCAACACATTGAAATTGACCACGTTCGCTTCAGTGGCTAAGCATTAGGCATTTTAGGTGTCTCACTCTCATAACTTATATAATTTATATAAAATTTATGTTTTTTATAGAAAGTTGTTTTTGCTATTGATGCAGGATTTTTTGCTCCTTAGTTCAGCTAAAATTCAGGTTCTTGTCTCACGACCAGGAAAAATTAGGCATGCAGACCTCATTGAAGGGTGAAGAGAGTGGACAATTAGGCAAAAAGAAGGCTCTCAGCAAAGAAACGGGGGTTCTGCCAACAGGATCCCACCTCACAGATTGAATGCCAGGCTCCTCCCCTGCATAAGGTGCGAATTCCTGGTGGCTCCACCCCCTTCTCCCAGTGTGCATGTGGGCTCCGGTCCCTCACGGGCACGCCCGGGCAAGACCCAGTGCAGATTTCCTTGTCTGCATCTGCTTGCCTCCTGCATCTATCACTATGTTATTAAATGTATGACTATACAACCTTAGTTGTATTTAAAAGAATGGCTTTGACTTCTATACTGTAGATATGTTTTCCTGAATAATATTAATAAAATATCAGCCTAGAGCACACAGAACCCTAGGGAAGGCTTTTCTAGCTATAATACAGGGTCTAGAGTTGAATCTAAGATATTCTAAAATCTAGAGGATCCAATAACCTTTTAAATGAATGGCCACCACAAAAGATAAGGTAACTCTTTCATAGCCTGAGAGGTCTGAATGTATAACTTCCCAAAAGGCTATTTTCTTCAGGATACTATTATACTAGATATCTACATTTCAGGGACTGTATCCAAATTACATTTATGTGGAATGAGTATTAATCCATAAATTATGGGAGCAGTTTCCTTGAGGTACAAGAGAAAAGAGGGTTACTTTTACAAAAGAGAAGTCAAGGGCTGGGCACGGTGGCTCAGGCCTGTAATCCTAGTACTTTGGGAGACCAAGGTGGTGGATCACCAGAGGTTGGGAGTTAGAGACCACATTGGCCAACATGGTAAAACCCAATCTCTACTAAAAATACAAAAATTAGCTGGGCGTGATGGTGGACGCCTATAATCCCAGCTACTCTGGAGGCTGAGGCAGGACAGTTGCTTGAACCTGGGAGGTGGAGGTTGCAGTGAGCCGAGATTGTACCATTACACTCGAGCCTGGGCGACAAGAGCAAAACTCTCAAAAAAAAAGAAGTCAAAAGTGCTGATACACCTTAATAGAAAGAGAACTATATAAAGTCAACTCTGAACTGTAACCAGCCTTTCTTATGAAACTCACTGGCTCTTCCGTTTCTTCTTTTGGGCTCCCTTTTTTGCTCAGCAGATGCCCGAAGGCTTATTCTTACACAACTCTCTTTTCTTTCCCGTTAACAGAATAGCTCACTTCCTTGTCATGGTGGACTTTACACTGAAATGTCAGGTTTAGCGTGCTGAGTGAGAGAAACTGACTGTAATGTAGATAGATAATTAGTATTTTCCGCCATAGGAAGAGATACGGGCCACACATGTTCATATTCTACCACATGGTGGACAAATTTTTATGATACCTCTAAAGGTTTAGGAAATAGTCTTATCTAAAAATAACATTTTTTCACTTTTATTGTTTTCCTTAGCACAGCATGTAGTAATCTCATTTCATTTCCTGATGTATATACATGTAAAACAAAGAACCTCATGTCTGTCGACAATCAGGAAGTCAGTAGAGTTGGCATTTCTGTTTAAAAACAATTCAGAAGCCTCCAAGCTGTTAACAAAGGCAGCTGTGGACCAAATATTTGGAAGACAAGAGCTGATGCAGTTTAAAAACAAAACATTCTCTCTCGATAATCGCTGTTGACCATTGGTCAACTAACAGACATTATCTATGATTCATACATACTTTATTCATCATAAACACTGCAGGACTTTGAGAATGGAGCACTGATGTTTTCTATTTCAAAACTTTTTTCAACTCGGGTTATGGTAGAAAAACTAATATTCTCTTCCTTAAAAAGGTCAGTGCAGAGAATACCTCATTTAATGGACTGATAGGACATCCACATTTTCTAGTTACATTCTAATTTACTTTAACATAAGGGAGGTACTACATACAAAAACCTGCTCTTTTGGT